AATACAATTATAAAAGACTACTAGAAAATTATGCCAACAAATTGGATAGCTGAAAAGAAATCAATTCCTAGAAACGCACAATCTTCTAAGACTGAATTATAAAGAAATAAACCTGAACTGATAATAATCAGTAATGAAATTGAATCAATACAAAAACTCCCAACAGAGAGAAATCCAGGACCGGATGGCTTATCAAGTGAATCCTACCAAATATTTTAAAAGTTAATACCTATCCTTCTCAAACTCTTCCAAAAAAACAGAAGAGGAAGGAATACTTCCAAATTCATTCTATGAGGCTAGCATTACCTGACACCAAAACCAAACAAAGACACCCCAAAACAAGAAAATTACAGGCCAAATCCCTGATCAACACAGATGTAAAAGTCCTCAACAAATATTGGCAAACCTAATTCAATAATATATTAAAAGATTATATACCATAATCAAGTAGGATCTTCTCTATGGATGCAAGGATGGTTCAACATTCACAAATCAATGTGGTACACCACATCAAAAAAATGAAGGATAAAAATAATATGATCATCTCAACAGTTACAGAAAAAGCATTTGACAAAATTCAACATCTATCCATGATAAAACTTTTAATGAAGTGAGCAAAGAGGGAATATACCACAACATAATAAACATCATTTATGACAAACTCACAGCTAACATCATACTCAATGGTGAAAAGCTAAATAGTTTTCTCAAAGATCAGAAGCAAGATGGGGCTCTTGAGTGGCTCAGTCAGTTAAGTATTCAACTCTTGGTTTTCGCTCAGGTCATGATCTCATGGTTTGGAACATGGAGATCAAGCCCTGTGAGGGGCTCTGTGCTGACAGTGTGCAATCTGCTCGGGATTCTCTCACTCCCTCTCTCTCTGCCCCTCTCCCACTCGGACACACTCTCTCTCTCAAAATAAATAAAAATTTTTCAAAACAGAATCAAGAAAAGGTTGCCCATGGTCACCACTTTCATTCAATCACACAACAAAAAGAAATAGAAGGCATCCAAATTGGTAAGAAAGAAGCAAAACTTTCACTATTTGCAAATGACATATTATATATAGAAAACCCTAAAGATTCCACCAAAGAACTGTTAGAACTGATACATGGATTCAGTAAAGTTGCAGGATACAAAATTAACATACAGAAATATGTTGTGATTCTATACACCAATAACAAACTAGCAGAAAGAGAAATTAAGAAAACCATCCCATTTATAATTACATCAAAAAGAATGAATACCTAGGAATAAATTTAACCAAGTAGATGAAAGACCTGTACTCTGAAAACTATAGAATAAAACAAATTGAAGATAACACAAATAAATGGAAAGATGCTCACAGATTGGAACAAGTGATATTGTTAAAATGTCCACACTATCCAAAGCAGTCTACAGATTCAATGCAATCCCTATCAATATACCAATAGCACTTTTCACAGAACTAGAATGAATAATCCTAAAATTTGTATAGTACCACAAAAGATGCCAAATAGCTGAAGCAACCTTGAGAAAAGTAAAGCTGAAAATATCACATTCCTAGATTTCAAACTATAATACAAAGCTATAGTAATCAAAGAGTATGGTACTGGCACAAAAACAGACACATGTATCAATGGAACAGAACAGAGATCCCAGAAATAAACCCACTCTTATATGGTCAATTAATCTACAACAAAGGAGGCAACAATATACAATGGGGAAAAGACAATCTCTTTGATAAATGGTACTGGGAAAACTGGACAGCTACAGGAAAAAGAATGAAACTAGACTGCTGTATTATAACATAGGCAAAAATGAACTCAAAATGGATCAAAGATCTAAATGTGGGACCTGAAACCATAAAAATCCTAGAAGAAAACATAGGCAGGGTGCTTGGGTGGCTCAGTTGGTTAAGCGTCCAACTCTTGATTTCAGTTCAGGTCATGATCTCACAGTTCATGAGTTTGAGCCCTACATCAGGATCTGCACTGACAGCATTGAGCCTGCTTGGAATTCTGTCTCCCTTTCTCTCTGCCCCTCCTCACTTCAAAAATAAACATTTTTTTAAAAAGAAAGAAAACATAGGCATTAATCTCTTTGACATCAGCCTTAACATTTTCTAGATATTTCTCCTCAGACAAGGGAAACAAAAGCAAAAATAAACTACTGGGACTACACCAAAATAAAAAGCTTTAAAACAGAAAAGGAAACTATCAGCAAAGCAAAAAGGCAGCTTACTGAATAGGAGAAGATATTTGCAAATGACATATCTGATAAGGGGTTAATATCCAAAAATACATAAAGAATTTATACAACCCAACACCCCCGCCCAAACTCTGATTAAAACAGGCAGATCACCTGAACAGACATTTTTCCAAAGACATACAAATGACCAACAGACACATGAAAAGATGTTCAACACCACTAATCATCAGGGAAATGCAAATCAAAACCACAGTGAGGCATCATCTTACACCTGTCAGAATGGCTAGCATTGAAAAGACAAGAAATAAGTGTTGGCAAGGATGTGGACAAAAGGGAACCCTCATGCACTGGAACAAAGGGAATGTAAATTGGTGCAACCACTATAGAAGACAGTATGGAGGTTCCTCAAAATATCAAAAATAGAACTACTGTATGATCCAGTAATTCCACTTCATGGTATTGACACTAAGAAAATGAAAACCCTAATTTAAAGAGATATATGCATCTCTATGTTCATTGCAGAATTATTTACCGTAGCCAAGACGTGGAAGCCACCTAAGTATCCATTAATAGATGAGTGGATAGAGATGTGGTATGCACAAAATGGAATATTACTCAGGCATAAAAAGAATGAAATTTTGCCATCTAGGACATATGTGGACCTAAAAGGCATTATACTAAGTGATATAAGTAAAGATAGAGGAAGACAAATTCAAGATATAATTTTACTTATATGTAGAATCTAAAAAAGAAAACAACATAGAGTCCTAAATACAGAAAACAAAGTAGTGGTTGCCAGGGGGAAGGGGATGAGGGAATGGGTGAAACAGGTAAAGGGGATTAAAAGGTACAAACTTCCAGTTATAAAATAAGTCATGGGGATATAAAGTACAGCATAGGGAATATAATCAATAATATTGTGGGACACCCAGGTGGCTCAGTTGGTTAAGTGTGGGACTTCTGATTTCGGCTCAGGTCATGATCTCACAATTCCTGGCAAAGAGCCCTGCATGGAGCTCTAAGCTGCAGAGCCTGCTTGGGATTCTCTCTTGCCCTCTACCCCTCCCCCTGCACTCTTGTGGGCTCTCTCTCAGAATAAAAATAAATAAATGTAAATACGTATATATGTAAGTTATATATGTAAATTTATACATTTATAAAACGTAATAAAATTATATGGTGATAGATGGTAACTGAAGTTAATGTGGTGAGCATTCCATAATGTATATAGATTGAATCACTATGTTGTACACTTAAAATATAATATTGTTTCATCTATACCTCAAATTTTTAAAAATTAATTAAATAAGTATATGTAAAACACTGACAACAGGGCTTGGGACAAAGTGCCATACAAAGGTTTGTTATAATCACCTTTACAGTACTTTCATTTCTTCACTGTCACTCACTCCCATTCTGACCATAAACAGTGTTTACTAAGAATAAACCAATGGCCTGTATGTTGCTAAATCCAACATATATATATATATTTTAGTCATCATTTTACTTGAGGTCTCTGCAGCAGGTGACAATCAATGTTAACACTCTCTTCTTTTAACATTCTCTTCCCTAGTCCAAGACTTCAATTACCACCTACCTGCCTGTGTCTTACCCGTCTTTATCTGTAGCCTAGACCTCTCTTCTCTGCTCCAGACCCCACAAGACCAATGGTTACCTGGACATCGCCGCCTGTATGTCTCAAAAACATCTCATATGCACTATCTCCAAACCTGAGCCATGATCTTTCTCTCCCTACCCGCTTGTCTTGGAATATTACATTTTTTCAAGCCCCTCTTCACCTGGCTGACCCTCACACTTACTTTAGATTTTAGTTAAGCATCACTTCCTCAGGGAACCCTGTGATGAATGCCCTCAAAAGAAACTTCCGTAGCACCTCTCTGCTTCACATCTACAGTTAGAAGGTAAGCTACACAAGGGCAAGGATGCCATGTCTGTCTTCTCACTACTATAGTCCAGGACCCGAATGAGGTAGCCTCCAGAGCACTTTGATTTGCATTCTTTAATGAGTATCAACTGTGCCAGTTGGTGCCAGGCTAAGACACTACCAACACAGTTAAAACTTAACAGAGTGCAAAGCTAGCAGGAGAGACAGTATTTAATCTAGCCCCCAAATTACTTTCAATTTCGATAAAAGTTCATGGATTTTTTTTTTTTTTTTTAAGCCTAACAAGGTTATTTGTCCTTTGAACAACCAACACAAAGCACATCCTGTAATGCCATGGATCCGGGTAATCGATGCAATTGTGTGGGGTCTTTACCATTGTGTTTACACTTTACTTATCGCTTGGGTACTGATACTCGATCCTACCTTAGCAAGCCAACTGCCTTTAACCCCGCACTCCGGTGTACCCAGTACACAGAGGGCAGTTTGCGAAGAGGTCTCTCATAACCTCTGGCAGTCACAATGCCGCTGGGGAGTGTGAAGACGGGACAGTCCGAGGGAGGAAAAGCCGAGGCCTGCGCTTGGGTGGGTGTTTCAGTGAATAGTCTGCAGCTAACGCCGGGAGGGGTAAATAAGTCTGAGAAGAGAAGTTGACACAACTTGCAATTGGAACAAGAGTTAACAAAAACCAAGCACCCCCGCACGCCTTCTGGAGCCCTGGCGTTTGGAGCCGAACAGAGCCAATCCCGCGAGACTACAACAACTTCCCAGGAATTCCCTCAAACTCCAGGTAAACACCCGTGGGGGCGGGGCAACTGGAGACGGCGGTGCGGGTCGCTCGCCTTACAGCGTTTAGGAATCTCAGTTCTCGCGATCTTTCCGAACCCGACCCTCGCTGGGAGTCCGAGTCCCCGTACGTGTGCTGTGGCAGGTGTGCCGCGAGGGCGGAGACTGTGTGGGAGGGAGAAGCCCCTTTGGCCTGCCCTACGGAAGCCTGCGAGGGAGGGTAGTGACCGCTGCCCGGTCCTATTGTCCCGATGCCCAGCGCCAGCGCAAGCCGCAGGAGTCAGGAGAAGCCGCGGGAGATCATGGACGCGGCGGAAGTGGGTGTTCTCCTTCCCCGGGATTGGGAGGACAGACCCCTGGGCCACACCGCGCTGAGGGAGGGAGGAGGGTGAGCGGGGCCCTGTTTCCAGCTCCCTGTAGGCACTTCGCGTGCGGGCCGCAGGCCTCGGGTCCGGGGGCACAGGGCCCTCACTGGGCTTCCACGGTCCTTGCGCCAGCTTCGTAGCTAGACCTACTCCGCATCTCATTTCTCGTTGGGGCACTTGGAGGGCTATTGTAACAGAAGCGTGTCCCGGGGTGGGGTGGACGTGGAGTAGAGACTGTCCCGGAAGTAGGAGCGGGTGGGGTCACACGTGCCTGGGTTAGGCACGTCCTTCACGTAATCTGCCCCTACACCTCGCCCCGTATAATGTTAATGCCCCCTAGTAATCGATTTTTCTTTTCAGCTCTCGTGTTCCTAATGTTTTTGCAAGTAATGACAGTACTTAGTAAAACGATCTGCTGATGTGTTTAATGACCATTTGCCATGTGACAGCTTTAAAGAACGCTTGCCACTTTTATTCACTTTCTCCCTTCTAGTGACCCAGTGCGGTAGGTAGGGAAGTTTACAGAGCGAGCGTTTGCAATGAAGTGGCTCAAAATCATGTGGATAGTTCATAATACCTAAGTGATCCTTCAATACTTTTCAAAAATGTAAGTTTAAAGCCATCCTACAATTTATGTGCATTGTAGGATAACTGGGCCTTAGTCCCTACCCAGCTCCTAATTTTTCTCTTGAGGTATTAGGAGTTTGTGATAAGCTACATAAGGAATAGGTCATCTTAACAAAATTTGATAGAAAAAAAGTTGCTGAAATATGAACAGTATTGATAAGTGACCCTTTACTCACACCCTGTAATCTGTAAATGCTGGCCTCATGCTATCTTGTGTGACTGTATCTCTGTTAGGGCTGGGTTATCTTTGTCTTTAGGTGTATTTGTTGTTGTTGTTCAGTATGCTCCTTCACATGTTTGGTTTATTTTGTTATAAACACAAACTCCAGTATCCACCAGATCCGAAGGAAAGGATTCCAGCAGATAGCCTTAGAGTGACGGAAACTGTTTCATATACATTTTAAGCCGTGTAAAACCTAGGGAAATTTTGCGTATCCTTGATCTAATTATATAAACTGCTCTCTTGCAGATAGCATAGGTCTAGATATAAGGAAGGTGTTGAGGTAGTATAATGCCATTTTATAGCTAAAAGGATCTTAAGATACCATTTTAGAAGTAAAGTGAGATAAAGTGAAAGACCACTTGTTTTTTCTGTAAGTATAGTTTATGGTTAATAGTCTGTACCCTATATCTCCCATTTCTTGTTGCTAACTTTAAAATTTAACAAGAAATTAGATATTGTCAATTTCCAACTGCTTGCAACCCTGTATGCTGAAGGTAGTTTTCAGAAACAGGAAGCTGATGATTTTTTTTTGCTGTTTTACAAAGTTGTAGCTTATGTCCAACATCTCCAGTTTCTGAAAAATGAGGACATCTGGTGCTCAGAAAGGTTACCCCAAGACGTTAGTTCTCTTTGAACATCTCTTCCTGTAATAGGAAGTTAATAAAACTGTACTTCATCCTTACTCCCTTCACAGAGGAAATTTATATCCCTGCTTTGAAGTCATTTAATCTCCTTTTTGAAGAAGGTAGTTAAGATGTGTTGTGCATGTGTATAAATTTTATCTGAGAGAGCTATTGTGTATGGTATATTCATCCAGGAGCGGTGATCTTCAAAACAAATCAACCAGAAACTTTTTCCGTATATAGGTAAACGGTACATTTCCACACTTTAAGACTACTGCCTCTCTAGTTTATAAAATGGTCCTGAAAGTTAAAATGAATTCATTTGTATATTATGTTATTTGTATTTATGTGTGTATTATGCTATTAGTGTTTAAATAAAAAGTCATAATCCAAAAACATTTTTTATAGGATTATGCTAAAGAAAGATATGGAGTATCTTCAATGATACAATCACAAGAAAAACCAGGTTAGTAGTTGTATGATAATAAAGCCTTTTTTTTTCTTCTTTCTAATTTATGAAGGCTCTTCATAAAGTTTTAAGTAAGTTTGACATAACTCTGAAAAGGTTAAGTGAGTAAATAACCCTCTCAGACACCATAACCCTGTATAAGCATTGTTAGTTTGGGATTACTAATCTAGGAAGGGAAGAATGGTAAATTACATTTAAAAGACTAGGTAAAAATTTTAACTAAGATTGAGTTGTGAACTAGGAGATAAAAGAAGAATGGTTAATGTTAACTACCTTCATTAAGTGCAACTTTTTTGCATGTTTTATAAAGCCACCTCCTTTTCTTTTCCCTCTTGTATTATTATATTTCTTTGAAATTGACTTGTCACATTCTGTTTCTCTCAGACCTGTAGGTTTTCTGTTTATAAGCATTTGCCTTCCTTTTGTTTATATTTTCATATATGTGTATGCATGCAATTTCAGCAGATTTATCTTACTCTTAACAATTCCCTTTCTTTTGGTAGACACCCTCAAATTATTTTTTTTAAGTACTTCTGATTTAGAAGCCTGCCTTTAAATTTAAGTTTTGAAAATAATAAACCTCCAGGTCAGTTTTATTGTTATTGTATATTTGATTTATTGCAGCATCACAAAATCACTTTTACTTCCCAACTTTGTTGGCAAAGTAGGCATTAAAATACTAAATAGTTTGCTAAAAGTAAACCATTTCCAAAAGAAAAAATGGTGGAATAAAATAATTTAGTATAAAATGGAATATAAACAGTATAGTATAGGAGATGACATTCCCTTGCCCAGATGAGGAGGAGGGGTGATTCGAGACTTTTCCAAATCAGGTATCTTCCTAAACTGGACTTTCTTGAGCTATAACAACGAATCCTGCTGGAGTTTCAATCTCTTACGTAAACTCCAATCACCTGTTGTCATAATTACTGTTCCCATTTGGCTGGCAAATTCAGACTACTGTCCTCCCCTCTTAAAATTACTGTAATATAACAGGAGAATTCTGTTTTATCTCTGCTAAAATCCTATTACCTAGTTCAACACAAAGTTTCCTTCCAATCTGCTTCCATTTTTCCAAATTCCTTCATTCTAATGCTAGTGACTTACAAGCGTGGAAGAGGTAGTAGATTTCAGACTGAAACCCTGCTGCCCCTGAGCATGGTCTCAGCCTGTCTTACTGGTGAGAGTGTGACATATCCTTCAAGTATGTATGGACATGTTGAAGGTTGGGAAACCCTGTGCTATTTAGTTGGAATGCCACATGAAACAAGGGATGTTACTCTTTGTTTTGGAATGTACTATTAGACTTACCCTAATCATGCTGTTTATTTAGAAGTTTATTCTTTTAGATTTATGTTACTCTGTTTCATTTGGTTTTGAGTTTTGACTTCCCAGTTAGTAAGTCATTTGCTTTGTCAATCTTGGCATTTTCAGAATTGCCTTTTAAAATTTTATGCTGCATTGTCTGTCTTTTCTCTGTCACACTTCTCTTTTGCCTGAGTTTACACATCAGATTTGGAAGTTGGTTTAATTCCTAAGGTCTGTTGGCAATATTTTGCAGAATTTTTCTTGTAATACCTCATTGCTTAAAAATTCCTCATTCTTGGGGCACCTGGGTGGCTCAGTCAGTTGGGCGGCCAAGTTAGGCTCAGGTCATGATCTCACAGTTCGTGGATTTGAGCCCCGTGTCGGGCTCTGTGCTGACAGCTAGCTCAGAGCCTGGAGCCTGCTTCGGATTCTGTGTCTCCCTCTCTCTCTGACCCTCCCCTGCTCATGCTGTCTCTCTCTCTCTCTCAGAAATAAATAAACATTAAAAAAAATTATTTTTAAATTCCTCATTCCTTATCTTTGTTTCTGGCAGTGAGAATTATGGTATACTCCTGTAACTTGAATTCTCTTTAAGCTGCATCTTTGCTTCAAGAGACAAGTTATAAATACATTTAGCAAAGTAGGTAAAATAGATTAATAATTTGATTTCATTATAATATCCTCTCAAAGGTATTTTTAGTAATGTAGTAACTAGGTTTTGCTGAACATGATATTGACAAATTTGGTTATAGTTAGGGAATAAAAGTCTTGAGAGTAGAGATCTTTTATTACTCTTGTTATGATATCATGGCTGTTACTGTGTTTTTATAATTAATACTGAGATTTTTAATATTCAGATTACTGCATATTTAGAATAAAAATATTTCTGGATCATGATTGCCTAATATCACTATCTTAACATAATAGTTGTTTTATCACAGTTTTCCTGTTTGGGAGAGTCTGGATGGGTGTAGCATGCCTTCCCTGCATCATTCTGTGTCCTGGTACTGTGACTGTCCAGACCTGGCAGAAATTCCTCTCCTGTGTGTGTGTAGTTGACTTAATATGCTATGGCAAGGAAGGGAAAATACCATGTCCAGTTAGACAAAGGCAGGTAAAGACCAGCTGTGTTTTTTTTTGTTTTTGTTTTTGTTTTCTCAGCTGTGTTTTTTTTGAGCCATTAAAGTATTTAAGAGATTTGTGTTTTGAAACTGTCTGACTCCAATGTAGACTGAGTTAAGGGATCAGAGGAATACCAGTTTTAAGGCTGTTGCTATAGTTTAGACAAAAGTAATAGTTCTTTGGTTTGAAATGGGCAATGAAGGTAAAAGAGAATTGGATAGATTTTAGAGATGTATTTAGTATAGTTGATAAAACTTGAAGCAGCAAATTTTATGTGAAGAGTGACAGAGAAGAACGTGTTACCAGAGACTGAAAATTATTTAAGATAATACCAAGTACTCATGCTAGCTGCCATACCGAAATAATTATGACTTTGTAAATTCTGAATTACAAAATTGTTTCACTTATCCGCTGCAGATCGAGTTTTGGTTCGGGTTAGCGACTTGACAATACACAAAGCTGATGAAGTTGTTTGGGTGCGTGCAAGGGTTCATACAAGTAGAGCTAAAGGTAAGATTGATTTGATGATTATAGCCCTTTTGGTAAGGATTCTGAATTTTTTGTTTTGTAGATTCCTCACAGAGCAAAGTAAATCTTTCAAAACTAAACAAAACCATCTATTTTCTTTCTTTAATCACTATGAAGTATTAGTCCATGGTTAATTAATTTTAGGTTCTTATAAGACATCCTTAAAAAAAAGTTGACCTTGAAGACTCAGATTAAGTCTAAGACTTTAAGGTACTTTTCTAGCATCAAAAGTTTGATCTTTTTTTAAATTTTTATTCATTTTTGAGAGAGAGAGAGTGAGCAGACAAGGAGCAGAGAGAAAGGGAGACACAATTCAAAGCCGGCTCCAGGCTCTGAGCTGTTAGCACAGAGCCCAATGTGGGGCTCAAACCAGTGAACCATTAGATCATGACCTGAGCTGAAGTCGGACGTTTAACCAACTGAGCCACCCAAGGTGCCCCTAAAAGTTGAGTTTTTTTTAAGTGAAGAGAATGTTTGAGAAGCTTTTCATTTGTTAATATTCTTATAGTTTAATGTTTAGATGGTAAGATAGATGATAGAGAAATAAGGCTAACAAATCAGGTTATCCAATACAGTGGCTGCTGGCTACATGTAACTAAATTTAAATTCAATAGTTCGAGTCACTAGCTGTGTTTTGAGTGCTTAATAGCCACAATCGCTAGTGGGTCCCAAAATACAGCACAAATACAGAATATTTTTATCACTAAGAAAGTTCTATTGGACTGTACTGAGAATTTAGCATTAGTAATGAAGAAAGATTCGGGTAGTTTAGATAGCCCTGTTCCTTACAGAAAATTGTCCTAGCCTAGTGTTCAAAATTGTATAAAGATATTAATGACACTTAACATTAGTTTATAATTTACACTTTTCACGCACTTTTTTACATTTGATCATCCCTACAAATTTGTGAAGTAGGCACAACAGACTTTGCTATTCTACTTTATAATTGAGGATACTGAGACGTCCAATGAGAAAGCTGCTCACCCAGGTTCTCATGGTAATTGGTAGAATATGAACAGAATGTGGTAATTTTCTAAGACTCTTAGTCTCCCTAGTGGAGCTGATTACTTCCATAATACCTAATACATGCTATGTTACATTATTTTTTACAGTGTTTTTCAATGTTTATTATAGAATTAATGTGGTCCCATTATTTTTAAAATTCTAACATTTTAGATTTATATCTTATTCTCAGAATCACTACTACTAAAAGTTTGTCTGTTCTTCCGGTATAGTCCCCCCAAACAGCTAAATACTGTTGGGCTTTGAGAAGAATATTGGTGGAGTTTTAATTTTTTTTTTTTTAATGTTGATTTGCCTTCCTGAAATTTCAGGCCATTTATTCTACCAAAGATAATCACACTGTTTTGTATTCCTTCATTTAGTTGTCTTTTTCACATTAGACTGAGAGCCTTTGTTCTGTCCAAACTGGCCACTATGTCTCCTAAACCTAGTTATTTAGCAAATTAAAAGATAGAATGTATGCTACATGTAGGTCTGAGTGAACCAAGAATACTTCCCTTTACACACATCCCCTAAATGGAGCAATTTTTGTATCAATAAGGGTAACTAGTGAATTGATGCACATCAGGTATTTTTAAATCCATAAATTTATAATAACGCTAAGGCCAGGAAACAAAACCTAGTTGGTCACTGGTGAAACAAACTCATTATTTTGAAAACTGATTAAAGTATCATTTCTGTAGGGATTCTGTATCACTGGCTAACCAAATGGTGGATAGAGGAGAGATACTAGAGAAGTATTCCAGTGAATAAAATGAAAAAAAGCATGTTAGAGCTTCATCATCTTGCCCTTAGTAGATTGTCGAGCCATTCATCATCAGTGATTACTAATGATACAGTAGAGAGACATTCAGAAATAATTTTATATGTCTATTCATGAAAGAACCAAACACCACCCAATGCTACTGTCTTGGACAAAAAATTGCACCTGAATTTTAGAGCCATTATGATCTAACTACCAATATATAGGAAAGACATAGGATAAATGAACACGTTAAGTGACAGTGAGGATGCAGTCAGCAAAATCTAGACTATAGGAAACTACTGGGCAAAAATGACGTGATATCTTCAACAAATCAAAAAGGGAGGGAGAAACATATGATTAAAATAGACTTAAGAGTTTTATCTCTTGGAGCGCCTGGATGACTCAGTTGGGTAAGCGCTCGACTTTGGTTCAGGTCATGATCTCACAGTTTGTGGATTTGAGCCCACGTCAGGCTCTGTGCTGACAGATCAGAGCCTGGAGCCTGCTTTGGATTCTGTGTCTCCCTCTCTTTCTCTACCCCTCCCCTGTTCGTGCTCTGTCTCTGTCTCTCAAAAATCAATAAATGTAAAAAAAAAAAATTTTTTTATGTTTCAACCAGTCACTTACTTGGATCCAAAGGTAAATGAACGAATTAATGACTGAGTAAGTAAAAACAGAGGATACTTGAGACTCTTGGAAATTTGAACATTAGCTGGATGTTTGATTTTAAAAAACTTTTTTTTGTTTTAGTTGTAATAATAGTACTATGGTAATGTTAATTTTTAAAAGATCTTATCTCTTAGGAATAATGTACTGAACTATGTACAAATGAAATAACAGGTAGAATTTGCTTCACAGTAGTATAGAGGTCCAGGGATATGTGGATTGGGATAAAGCTGAAACAAGAATGGCCCTGAGTTAATAATTATTGAAGTACATGGAGGTTGTAGGTAGACATTGGTATCATTTACAAATTATGATCTTTTGTCCTTTTCTTTCAAATGTTTATCTCATTTCTTGTTTCTCTTTGCAATGATTAGTAGATTCTCCAGTACTACGGGGATTCCCTCAATGAAGAATTTTTCAAACAGCAGAGATTTAACTCCTGATGAGTTATTTCATGACTTTGGGTGTTGTACATAAAATGTCATTAGAAAACAATGCCAAAGTTTAAAGACTAGATTAAAAGAAATTTTCTTCTAGTCCAAACTTTCTGTTACCAGGAATAGATATTACATTTTATTAGACCTTTTTCAATCGGTTCTTTTCCCTCAAAATATAATTGTGTTGAGTGTATTTATATAGTGGTTCATATGCCATTCTCTCTGCTTTTGTGTTTGTTTGAAGTTTTCCATATAATAAAAAATTAAAATGCAGTTGATCCTCTTTATTCATGGAGTGTGTATTTGCAATTTCTGCTTGCTAAAATGTGTTTGTAACCCCCAAAATCAATACCTGCAGCACTTTCACTGTCATTCACAGACATGCCAGACATATGCATATGCAGAGAGGCAAAAACTTGACTCACCCAGCACACATGTTCCCAGCTGAGGTCAAAAGTGAAGCTCAGCCTTCTTATAACAGCTCTCATGAACAAGTGCCCTTTTCACAATCTATTTACGGCCATGTTCTTCACTGTTTTCTTCTCTTTATTGGTGATAATGGCTGTTCACAGTGGCCACCAAGCATAGTGCTATAGTGTTTTCCAGTGCTCCTAAGTACAGGAAGGCTTGTGCCTTATGAGAAAATATATGTTAGAGAAGCATAAGTTTCATTCAAGCATAAGTTATAGTGCTGTTGGCCATGAGTTCAATGTTAATGATTCAACAGTATATATTAAATAGTATGTCTTTAAACAGAAACACACAACGTTATGTATTGATGGACTTACGAAAATATTGTGACTAGAGGCTCACGGGAACCTAACCTTATATTTCCCCTAGGGACAGTGGTTCAGTATTTGCAAATTCATTGTTCTGGTGACTTTATAGAACATAACTACTGTAATTAACGACAATCAGTTCTTTGTAATTGTAATGATTTACAGTAGTGGATTTCTTAATGTTGAACCATTTTTGGATTCTTGGAATAAACGGAAAATGGCAAAGTTGTGGGTCTTATTTTTTTTTGTATAGTACTAGGTTAAGTTTCAGAGGTTTTTTTTTTCCCCTGGAATTTTGCATTAATCTGGTTTTCATAACTTTTTATTAGAAAATCCTATTGGGGTGCCTGGGTGGCTCAGTCGGTTAATTGTCCAACTTCGGCTCAGGTCACGATCTCACAGTTTGTGAGTTTGAGCCTCACGTAAAGCTCTGTGCTGACAGCTCGGAGCCTGGAGCCTGCTTTGGATTCTGTGTCTCCATTTCTCTCTGCTCTTACCCCACTAATGCTCTGTCTCTCTCTCCTTCAAAAATAAATAAACATTTTTAAAAATTAAAAAAAAAGAAAATCCTATTATTTTGTTTTTAAGTATGTATATATGTATGTGTATGTGTTTAAATTATAAATTACTTAAGTAATACATATTTTCACATGAATTTTTCAGAGAATACAGAAATGATACTCCCTTTTTTCTTCTCTATACCCTATTCTCTGCTCCAGCCTTTGCTGTTAATGCTTTATTGTTCATCGTGTTTATTTCTTCTTAATGCACATATGCACACATACATATGTACAGATTTTATTTCTTTTGTATATGTGGCTTTTAACCTGTCTTATTTTACATAGAAGACATATTTTACATGTCATTCTGCAGCATTTTTATTAACAGTATTTAACAAACAGTGTTTCTTGGAGATCTTTGCTTCATACTGTACATCTACATAAGGCAGTATTTCTCCATGACTAATATCTAGAAGTGAAATTGCTGGGTTGAAGGGTATACGTATGCATACTTAAAATTTTTTATACCAGATTACACCCAAAAAAGCTTTACTCGGTTATACTCCCCGAGTGTGTGACAGTACCACTTTCCCTAAATGTTGCCAGTTATGATTGTCAATGTTTTTTTATTTCTGCCAAAGTAGATTATCTAAAGAAATAAATAAAATCTTGTGTTTTGAATTTGCAAAACCCTGATTGCCTCTAGTGCCTTCCTCCTTTAATAGGAAAAATTGTCAGTAAATATGACTAACTTGGAAGCATTCAAGTACTATAACTCCAGGAGTAGCAACACATTAAAACTGGACTTGGAGAAACAACCCATGCTGGCAGT